CACATTTTAGGAAAATCAACATCAATTTATGAAGTGAGCTTATGTGATGTTCTCTCAAATATTTCAGTTGTATTGAAAATTCAACATTCAAGATGATTTTGGGAAACGAGTGAATGCAACTAGTGAAAGATAACTGCAGACATGGAGGAAATGGGTGAAAAGTTTATTAAGACTATTTTTCTTTTCTTCTTCTTCTGTTTTTATGTTGCACATTAGCAACATATTAGTGCACTGCTGCCTCTCACTTGTTTATTAGTGTCATTGGTTCCTTTGTGGCTACTTGAATATTTTAAGTACGTGTCACTCAAAACAGTAAGTAAATTGTTTTATTTGCCTTGAAAGTAGCTGTAACTTAATAAAACCTAGTAAGTATAACAACTAAGTAAAGATAACTAACTAAATCTAAGTAAGGTAAACTATTGGATTTTACAGTGAGAGTACTTTTTGAAAGGCTTGAACCTTGTAGAAATTTCAACACATTAGGTGTTCAAGAAAACTGGAATCTCTCACCACATTTTAAACGTGGGTATTAGATAGCCACACCAAAGCATGCAATGACCCCTCAAGGTTATCTGAGGAATTTGAGAGCTCTGCGTAATGCACTGAAGCTCCAGTTGCGTTTCATTACGACTCCACTGTATTCTTTGCGCAAGACACGGTGCAGAACGGATAAGAAGAGCAGCGCGCGCTCAAGCGCAAAGCTTTCCACATGCAGGCACAGTATCACGATCAGATGACACTAACACGTGTTGTCATATCTCGCTGGCTCCAGTCCAAAATTAATCCAGGATTACACTTTAACACAGAGAGAACTGAATGACTAATAAACGCAGCTGACGGAGGCTTCAATTGCCGAAGACTTTTTGAGAAAAGACAAACAAACCATAAAACGGAACAGAAGACACAGACGAGATCCAAAACTAAATCAAAATAATGCGGTCTAAAGGAGTGTTAGTGTTTGTGTTACTGGGCGCGTTAACAGCTTACTACGTTTATTCACCAATCCCGAATAACATAGAGGAGAGATGGAAACTAATGCTCGCCGACTCTTTCTTCAGGAGTTTAAGCCAGTTGGTAAATTTTGCTTGCATTTGTATTTTAACACGTATTGAGCTGCTTGTAATATTGACAGCCATCAGTCTAAAGTTTAATGCCGGTAACGCACATATCGCCATGCATTTGCAATGTCATGGCCATATAGGCCTATATCTCGTATCGTGTTATTATTTTGGACAGGCTTGATCAAAGAGTGTGATTACGCAACCAATCACAGTAGTAGCCTATATGTCGGGTAAGTTAAACGTGTGCTTATTTGTTTAGATTGTTTGGCATGACACCACACCAGCAGATTTGCAGTTTAGAGATTATGTCAATTCTTAATCCGAGCATTGTATTTTATATAGTAATCTTTGTGGCTAATAATAGCTGGATATTATAGCAGGAAATGCCAATTAAATAAATGCATGTGTATGGGGACATCAGTTTACATTTTGAAATGACATTTATAATAAAATGTGTGAAATTAATGATTTTTAAACCATTCCTCATCATCCTGACTCCAACTTTCATTTTAAACATCATAAAAGGTAAGCAAATATTAAACATTTTATTTTAAATTTCAAACAAATTGGGGAAAATAAACACATGCATGCATACATAAATATCTACATACATACATAAAACAAGGCTGAACAACTGGACAACATAACAGTGTGTGGGTATGGGTTTTATGCTGCATCCCAACTCACCCATTTAGACTATACCCCAAAAGTATAGGCTTCTCCTTTTCTGAAGAAAAAGTACTGTTGAGTGTGAAGCAGGAGATTTGGCAAGTTTTGGGACATACTGCTACATCATATTTGCATTTATAATGGACTGTGCTTTTGCATATTACATGCATCCTGTCATCGTAAACTGGCCTGTCAATCATCTTGTCACAGTTAATGTCCTATATTTCAGTTCAGTTGAATTTACACTGGGTCTTTCATGTGAAGAACTCTCCTCATGTTTTTGTATAGTGATGCATTTAAAAGTTGCTGCACGGTCAAGACTGCATGGTTTAGAAAATTAACCTATTACCAAAGGAGATAGAAGACTAAACTAGAACTGGTGGCAAGAGACTTAAGGCTTGATTCGAACACTGTGAACATCACTGGAGTAAACATCATTTAACATCAAGTGGCTTAACGATGGGCTGTTGTCCACTGAAGCAAATGATTAGGGGATTCTGGCTATTAGTGAGATGATCTCAGCTGATTAACCATGCGCCTGCCCTGTTCAAAACCTTTTTGAGAAAATGCAGCCAGGCACCGTGTGACTTCCACTGGGAGCTCCCAGAAACAGCAGTTTAAATGTATATTTTTGTTTTCCCCCCTCTTCACAGGCAGAACTGAGTGAGCGGATGGGACTATTGCACTACATGAAAGTTATGATGTTCATCACCATTGCAGAGCGAGTAGTGCCTGTGTCAGATGAGAGGGTGCAAGTGTCAGATGAGAATTTTGATGGGGTAGAGGTGATTGTGTATCAGCCAACCCAGCAAGAAGAAACAGGAGAGCTAAGAAGAGCCATCATATACCTGCATGGAGGAGGATGGTGTCTTGGCAGCTCCCGTGAGTACCATTAATCACACACTGCTGTATAATGGAGTGTTCTAGCTTTCATATCTTAACGGTAAGGTAAATGTGTTTATATGAAAGCTCGCCACTGGAATGCCAAAGTTTTAAGTTCTCCATCACTATGAGGGATTTCTTTTCAATCAGACTGCAGAGAAGCCATGCATGAGGTTGTTGCAGTTCAGAGTTGAAAATTAACAGCAGTTTGAGGCAAAAATGGGACGAAAATGAACAAAAATGCACCCCAAATTCAAGATACAGGTGCAAAAATTTAGGTGCACAATTAAACAAAATCGATTATGACTGTCAAGATTAAAGTAAAATATGAAAATAAATGAAAAATGTTGAATGCAGCATTACATTTATATCTGCTCATGCTGCACCAAAGAGTACTTTTTTTTGCAGCATTGAGCATTACAGCCAATCACACATGTTTCTGTTGAGTATATGAATGCAACAGCTAATCAGAGGTGTTTAGATTAGTCACTGGTGAAGAAATCTGCTGAAAACCCTGGAGTTTATTTCAGTATGCTTCCTAACACATAAAAAATCATAAACGGTAGATGACTGATTATTTGTATGACTAAAAAAGTGTGTCAGGTATTGCAAAAAATATCAGTTATATTTCATAGATTGAAAACTGCTTTGAACGCACATAAACAGTAGAAAAGTTCTGTTCTAAAAATCCCTCTTCCTTTAAAGTGCTATTGGTCTCTAATATTTAAAAAAAAAAAGTGATGGTTAAAGGGGTTACAGTTTATTTTAAGGTGTCCTTGTTACATTGTAATTATACATTTCGGCAATAAGTTATAATAATTAACATGCACGTAGGGTTAGGATTGGGGTTAGTTGCATGTAATTATGCGTAATTTACTGTTATTACTATGGTAAAAACATGTAACATATATTTTGCTTGAATCCATGAGTACTATTTTCATCACTTCGAGACTTAATCAAATAAAAGTCAAAATTATATATATATATATATATTTTCCTTCTCACCTTAGGTATGGGCCCATATGATCTGCTAGCCAAGCACATGGTTACAGAGCTCAACGCAGTTATTGTGTCTGTAGAGTAAGTATCAAATGTTGTTCATTCAATAAAAAATGCTTGCTTGCTTCAACAAGGTCACACAGGATCTGGCGATTGATTGATTGATTGATTGATTTATTGATTGATTGATTTTATGTAATTGTGCTTATAATTTCTATTACAGCCATTAAATTGTTAATTAATTATCAGCAAATTAATAAATATCACATATAACCCAATTTGTAATAAAATATTCCCTCAGTTCCCTATTGAAGTGGAACTCAACACTGCGTCATGATGTTGACTCTATGGGAACACTCATCGTGTGCCGGTGTTTAAAGCATGTTTGGTAAATGCCCATCTTGATTGGCTACTGCAGTCAGGTGACGTCACAGGGGTGCCTGGAGAACAGGTCATCAGCTTCATTGTCTTCAGGGGGCCGTTTGTCTGTGTGTGTGTGTGTGTGTGTGTGTGTGTGTGCTATAGTCTGTGTGGGAAAACTCAAAAAAGAAAGTTAAAGAAATAAGTGAATGCAGATTTAGAAAGTGTGGCGGTATTGCAGGCGTACTAATGCGATTTATTGAAGGATGTTGACTGACAACCTGATAGATTTAGCTTGAGATGCCACTCCGTGGCAACCATGGCAGCCAGAGAGCAGCAACTGGCTTAATCTGTCAGAGCTGAAAGAGAAGGAAATATATTTTCTCTGGTTTTGTCTTCCGGACTTTTTGGCATCGCTGTTGAGGCGGTTGTCCAGAATTTTATGGAGAAGAAGATTAAGTCAGTGGTGTTGATTGCCACAGACAGCGAGTGTTGATGCTCAGGCCCCACCGCTGAGGAGTCAGGGCTCCAGGCGGCGACATCACTCGATGGCGAAAAAGGGTCTCAGATGTCCTCATGACTAAATGTGCAATAAACATTTGATTCATTGCACGTCCCCTGCAGTTACACTTTCCCACAATGCCTCCTCGATCTGAGGATTGACAAGTGTAGGTGCTTTGTTTTAGCTGCGATTAACAGCTTGATAGCGTCTCGCTCCATTGTACTGATGGTCGTGTGCATAGCTCAGCTGTAGCGCACACAGTCTTGTAGCAAATCAGCTCAAAGGGGAAATATGAATAATCATTCATAACTAGTTATGATTTATTATAAATATATAGATCCGCTGTAAGTATTTACTTGACATCTCAGTGTCAACTGTCTGTTAATTCTAAGAACGTTACTTTTCCGTTTAAGGAAAATAACTTTCTTATTGTACAATACTACTCAGAGCATGTAGCAAAAATCTGCATAATTAGGGACTCCAGTTATGAGAAAACAATTAATAACCTAAAGTGTGATACAAGTAAGACTTTATTAACTATGTAAACACTTGAACTAGTCTAACATACACACACACACACACGCATACAGTTGGCATTGGAAAATGTGTTGAAGCTTAAGCAGTAAAGAGAAAAGAAATAAAGCATGAAGTTATGGTAGAATTTGATATTCAGCAGATCTACAGCCTGATGGAAACATCAGTTTCTTAGTTCAAACACACCTTTGTAAAAGGTGCAAATGATACTTAATGTATCAATTAATAAGACTAAGTTTGATACTTGCACGTCTTGTCTGTCTGAAAGAGAGTCCTGATGCAATCTGAAGGCTCAAGTTGATCTTTGCTGAAGTTGGTTGATGAAAAAGAACCAGTTTGAGTCAGAGGATCTTGAAGTGGAAAGACTAGGCCGAAGCCTGGCACAAGCTTAGGTTGGGTTCTTGAGGTCTCTTAGCTCTGCATCTTGCCCTGGAGTTTCTGCATCTGAAAACTTCTTCTGTTTAACTCTGATCTTGTGATCTTTTAAACCAGGGGTTTCAAACTCAATTCCTGGAGGGCAGCAGCCCTGCAGAGTTTAGATTCAACCCTAATTAAAAACACCTGATCCAACTAATCAAGTTCTTCAGGCTTATTTGAAAACTACATGGTATGTGTATTAGAGCAGGGTTGGAACAAAACTCTGCAGGGCTCCGGCTCTCCAGGAATTGAGTGTGACACCCCTGTAAATACATCTTGGAAGGCCAAACAAAGTAGTTTCGCTTTCACAACGAAGCACACAGTGTCTCCACGACATGACGGCAGCGGCAACAATACTACAGTGTTCAAGTTACGCCTTCTTTCTTTGCGTGAACATTTGGGCGGTGTTATGCAAATATTCCCACACAGTGACGTAGACATGTGGGGGCGTGTTTAAACGAGGCGTTTTAGGAGGGCGTGGA